CTCTGGTATCTCCTGCAAGTGAACAGACCACCATTATCCTTATCAGAAGGGAGTGGGTCTTATTTAGGGTGAGTCAGACTAATAGTCTAGCCACTATAGATGGCTGATGTTAAGGAGAATAACCTCTGACCTACTTTCACTGATCACCTATTGTACAGTCACTCTTACGCAGCTAAGTCTGGTACATATTTTGGGGAGACAACTTAAGAGAAATCCTTCTGTTCCTCACACCTCTAGAGATTCTGGTGCTGGGTTATAGCTTTCTAACAGTGAGGGTCTTGGGGTCTGCACTGTAAGGTCGCCCCCTTAGTCCTTGTTTAGCTAGTGCTGCTTGGCATGAAGAGCCTCCAGCCCTGAGCCATCTGGGAATGTGCTGGCCACCTGCAGCCCAGCCCTCCTTGACAGGCAGGAGGCCAGAGGAGGGAGTAGAGAACCCACCATCTGCCAGGTCGCTTTTGGGAAGTGGCTCACTGGTCTGTGGGCTGGGCTCTCCTCCCAGTTAACCTTTCCAGAAAGGTCCAGGGAGTCACTGAGGAGCTTCCCTTTGCGCAGCCGCTCCCTGGGGGTGGGGGCACGTGGGGGACGTCATACCCGAAGCCCGCGTGGTCAAAGGCTTGCAAACCCCCTGAGTCTTGCAGGCTCATTCCCGAGGGTAGCCTCTCTTCCCCATTTCTCGGGTTTCACTAGGAGAGTTGGGCAACCAGAGGGACTTTCACAGCCGAGGTGGCCGATTGTAGACCCGCAGGATGGGGCTATCAGTGAGCCCTGCTGCAGCTCACTCCCAGCTGAATCTGACCTGGTCACCGTCTGCTCCCTCGTCTTCCCCAGACCCACCAGGAAAACCAAGGTCATTTGGTGGACGTTGCACAGGCTACAGGGGCGCTGGGGGCACAGTGGTGACACGTCAGGGTGCTAACCGCAAGCTCAGTAGTTCATAAATCAACAGCTGCGCTTCCGGAGAGAGATGGGGAGAGCTTCAGACAGGCTCAGAATCCCCAGGGGCGGTTTGGCCCTGTTGTGTAGGACCCCTCGGTGGCAGGGAGTTGGTTTGGGGAACCAGGGCTATGACTATGAAATAATTCACTGGCGGCAGTGCAGTCCCCTCCAATCTCATCCGGGCGTTTACACTCGAACTGCCTTAGAATTATCAACGGATCGCTCACTTCACGGACTGTTTGTTTAGGCTCCCGTTGGATCGGAGGCAAACATCCTACGTCCACAAA